ACCTGGAGGTGTTGGTGTATGTGCTGCGCAAGGACGAGTGGGCATGTTTATTCTCTGACCAATCACAAACGTTCGCACATAATTGTCGCGCGTCTGTACAGAGTCGCAATACATCGATCGATTGGGACATGCAAACTCGAGACATTTGAGCGCGACTCGGGCAAATCGTGATTGGGACACATCGATTGGGACATGGTCCACAGCGGAATGCACCCTTAGTAATTGAAACGATCCTAAGGGCTTTCTCAGCCCAACATACAATACCTACATGTACACTCAGTGTATGATCCATTCATTCGTCCAATTTACCTAAGCTTTTGTTGCTGTAGTGGGTGTGGTGTGGTGCAAAGAAATCACACCTGCTGTACAACCTAAACTCCTGCATGCTACAAAGGTGTGCTGAGCTGAGACCTCTCTTGCCGGAAAGAAAAACACGACTCAAGGCTGAACCAGCGGCAGCAGCAGCAGCAGCCGTCCCTCCCTCCCCAGCCGTACCTCGGGCCGGGCTCTCTATCTATGCCTCCCTCTCTCACTATGCGGTGGGAGCAGGGGGCCTGTACGTGTCCCTCCGCCTGAGCCCCTGCGAGGAGAACGAGGAGGGCTGCTGCAGGTACACAGTGGTGGGATCATTGGGATCCATGTATGCACTGCGCATCATCTCATCCACTGGCAGGCGATGCGAAGGCAGAGGATCCATGGCTGGGGAAGCAGCAGAGGGAGAAGAGGCGGAGGTGGTGGAGGTGAAGGAGTCGCCTGGTGCGGCAGCGGGCGAGGCGGGGAAGGAGGAGGGGTGGGCGGAGGCGCGGAGGCCGCGGAGGATGGAGAAGAAGAGCGGAAGGAAGGTGCCCACCCCGCCGTGCATGAAGTAGATTGTGAAGGCGTGCGGGGCCTGCATGGCTGCATGCACACTGCTGTCCGCCACCTGAAGGGGGTGGTTTGAGTGAGGTCATACGGGGCGAGGTGGGGTGAAAAGGGTTGGGTGGGACGAGGAAGGGTGAGGCCGGGTGAGTGGGATGGGGTGGGGTGAGGGCGGCGGACATGTGTAGGGAAGTTGGACAGCGATAGGTGTGGAGCCAACACGGACTGGCAGAGCAGTACAAGGCCAAGTGGACCACACAAACAGGCAAGGCAAGGGAGAAGCAGGAGAGTTAGACAAGAGGGAGGAGCGAGCGGGAGAGTGCGGCAGGGGTGGGGCTCAGTGCTCACAGGCAGCACGACGCCTGAGATGTTGTTGGCTCCGAATATGGGCTGGTTGAACTTCTCCCCGTGCACGTACAGCTGCCATGGGGAGTGTGGAGGGGCGGAGGGGCGGAGGGGGGAGAGGCGCTGAGGTATGATGAGCGACGGAGGAGGGGATGAGGGGGAGAATGGGGGAGAGCCGATATGGGAGGTATGCCTAAAGTGCTAAGGGCATGCCAGGAAAGGTTGAATTGTAAGACCGCGGGACGAGATGTTTTGCGTGTCAGAGCCTACTATTTAACCTAACAAAGAAAAGAGAACGAATGTGTAAGGCTTTGAGAAAGAAAAGAGTGCTTTCGACATGTCGGCTGGCTGTTGGCTGTGAATGCTGGAGATACTAGTTGCAGAAGGGCATGGGAGGGGGAAAGGAAATGGTAGGCGAGGGGGAGAAAGATCTAGAGGAGAACGAATGTGTAAGGCTTTGAGAAAGAAAAGAGTGCTTTCGACATGTCGGCTGGCTGTTGGCTGTGAATGCTGGAGATACTAGTTGCAGAAGGGCATGGGAGGGGGAAAGGAAATGGTAGGCGAGGGGGAGAAAGATCTAGAGGAGAACGAGAGAAGGGAGGGAAGGAAGCAGCAGAGAAGGAGGGACGGAGGAACAAAAGAGCGTGAGTGAGTGAGAGGGAGGAATGAAAGGACTGGAAGGTGAAGAAGTAGGCGCTGACATGGGCGAGGCGAGGAGGAGACATACAAGGGGCATGTCGAAGGCGAGGAGAGGCGGCTGGGTGGACGGCTGAGCGACGAAGACCATGCGGATGTTGGACAGGAAGAGAGACCCGCGACACACCCACTTGCCGCTCGGTACCCTGCGGTGACGGGCGCGGCGAGGCGCGGGGAAGCGAGGAGAGGCGAGGGGGGAGGGGAGATTTGGGTGTGACAGAAGAGCGGGGTGATGATGATGAGGAGGAAGGGCGTGAGAGATGAAGTGAGAGAGGATGGGAGGAGGAGATTTGGAGAGTTGAGGTAGTAGAGCAGTTGCTGGAAGTCGAAATAGGAGCGACGGACACGGAGGATGCGTAGTGAGGTGAGGTGAGCAAACTGAAGCACGGGTGAAATCGGAACGAGCGAAAGCGAGGAATGGCGAAAAAAGAAATCGATAGCGAAGAACGACGGGGTGGTGGGCGGGAGGGAGACGAAGAGAAGTCACCCTGCCGAATCTTTAGAGATGTCTCCAAAGTGACTAGTGACCAGTGACTTCTTTGGTAATACGCTGTGTTGTTAATACGCCGTATAGGTAATACGCACTGCGGCATCTTATCGACGTGGAACTCGATGCCGTCGCGCCGAAGCACCATCACCTCGCCCACGAACGGCACGGGGATCCCCTGGCCGTCCAACTGCGGATTCGCTGCCATGGCTGGCTGACCTGGCTGAGCTGAGCACGGTACGAGGGTGAGCGAGGTCCTTGTGCGATTTGCACACTGGAGATAACTACGCGGTTGTGTTGACAAGTTACCGTCAAGCCGGCTGAAACCTATAATGACCGTTAGAGATCTGCCGGGTAATTGGAACGAGTGGTGATGTTCGATGAACAGTGAATTGGTTGACTGGAAAAGTACTTCTAGGTAGGAAATGACTGGAACATACGAATAAACTAGTTGCGCGGTGTGCGCGAGGTGTGCAGCAGTCAATCGCGAAACATGCGACTATTCGCGATGCTATTACCTTGACCATGTCTAAGAGGGGCGTGGTTGGGTGCGAAACACTCTACAGAAGCACATTTCGTGAACACTCGCGACTGTCGCACACAGCGCTGGGTGTACCTCTTCGAAAGCATCAGTGTCGAAGTCCGGGAGTTTCTGGAACGTTTTGGAACTTACAGCACCGTGCCGTACCCGCAAGAACGTAAAGTGACGCTGGCTGATGGTCGTCTGCGATCCATGCGAACGAAGCTGTCACGTATGCGACAGCGTTTCCAGGAAAAAGCGCATCCAAGCTCTCGCATCAACAACGCTTGGCGACATTTCTTTTCCCAAGAAAGGGTGTGCCAACTTCAATATCCTCGTCACAGGCAACTTCGCTACATTTCTGAACTACTCTCGTTCCCCGGTAACTGTTGGCAAATTCGTTTTGACCTCTCACCTCCGATGTTCCATTTCCACGCATTCTACTCGAATCATCACATCAATCCATCACGGTCTCCCGACTCGACTTTGTTCGTATCCCACACGCCCATGGCTGCCCCCGCGCGGGTCTCCGTCATTTTCGGGTCAATATTAGTGAAAATAGACGACAGCGTCCAAGAATATTTTGCGATAATTTTGGAAAGAGGGTACAGGAGTGACAGGCACGCAAATTAGGGTTCCCGTTGAAATTAGGGTTTCCGGCCTTGCTTCCGAGTCTGACAGCATTGTCACTAGAGAAGCCCACCACACGGATGGAAGCCCCAGAAATCTCGTGGAATCCACTAGAGATCCTTCTCCTGTTCCGATGCGTGGCGAATCTAGGCCTTTCTGACAAACCTCTTCCCAACTCCTCTCCAACCGTACCTGTTAGCGCAGGGGCCGGAGCGATAGCCGGCAACAGCGGTTCAGATGGGTTCGTAATCCGGGACGGTGACGGCTGGGCGGTAGTGGCGACGGAGATGCAGAAACGGTCGGCGTTTGTGTCCCAGCGGCCGTTGGATCGCCCGCACACTGCGCAGGTGCGTCCGATCCGCATCTGCATCACCGCTGTCTTCACGTCTTGCTCTTCTCTCATCCCTCCTCTGGCCTGGGAGTCGCTGCCGTTGCTGCTCGTGCTGCGCGTGCTTCTCCTGCTGCTCATGCTGCGCGCGCTGCTCGTGCTGCTCCTGTTGCTCCTACTGCCCCAGCTGCCACCGCTGACGGCATTCCATGTACTCCTCTCTCCCTTCCCCTGCGCGCTGTCATAGCAATCGCATCCCCTTCTCTTTCCCCCCGGCACCCATCCGCCGCTCCCTCGCCTCCTCGCTGCAGGAGTGCTCGCAAGTATATGCCAGAGTTGCTGGCGGGGCCTCACGGACCGCCAAGAACACGCAAGCGGCTGCTACTACAGGCAAAGGGTTGGCTCCTGCACCTTGCTCCGCCGCCGCCGCCGCCTCTGCCGCTGCCACCGCTGCTACTGCTGCTACCACTGCCGCGGCGGCTGCTGCTGCCGGTTCGCAAGGCATTACTTATGCCAGCTCACACGGCAACAGCAGAGCCAAGAGACTGAAAGGGTGTGACACAAACGAAGGCCGTGTAGGGGGGTTCTTGTTGCCGTGCACAGGTGGGCACTCAGGAGGAGAAGAAGAAGAAGCAGGGGTAGCAGAGAACGAAGGGGTACGGGCAGAGGAGGACGGAGGAGGAAGGACAGAGAGGGGGCAGGAGGGTGAAGGGGAGCGGGGGGAAGAGAGAGACGGAGAGGCAAAGGGGCAGGGACAGAGACAGGTTAGAGGAGCAAGGGCGTATGATGGGGATAGAGGGGAGATGGTGGAAGAGCGGGTAATGGCAGTGGTTGTGAAGAGGCTGCAGCGATGGACGCAGGGCAGAGAGAAGAGGAGGCGAATGGGAGGAGAGGAAGACGGGAGGAAGGGCACGAGCACAGAGGAAAAAGAGCAGGAGCGGCAGGGACAGAGGCAGGAGCAGGAGGAGCAGCAAAGGCAGGAGCAGGCGCGGCAGGGGCAGAGGCAGGAGCAGGAGGAGCAGCAAAGGCAGGGGCAGGCGCGGCAGGGGCAGAGACAGGAGCCGGTGGAGCAGGGGGGTGAATCGGTGTTAAGCGAGGGTGTGGGCGAAAAAGAAGGCGAGGGGGAAGTCGATGATATGGGTGAGCGGGGGAGGGGGAGGAGTGCGCTGGAGGGAAGGCAAGGGCTTGCAGAGGAGCCAGCAAGGGCAGAGAATTCTGATGGGGCTGTGCCCCTAGAGCGCGGTCTTAGGGTGTTGGGTAATGAGGAGCATGGAGGGGAAGCAGGCAGGGAGGGGGGTAGAAAGAGGAGGGGAGGATGGATGGAGAGAAGAGGTGCGGATGAGATGGGGGAGGGGTTGGGCAGAGGCGGAGATGAGGGGAGAGAGAAGGTGGTGGGGGAGAGAGGGAGGAGGCGAGGGGAGGAGGAGGAGGCGGGAATGAGGGTTGCTGGTGGGGAGTGTGCAGGTGATGGTGGGGCGAGAGATGGGGATGGGGAGAAGGAAGGAGCGTCAGTATGTAGGGAAGGGAAGGGTGAGAGGGAGGGCGACCGGGGAGGTGGATTTGGGAGGGCTATGGCGGGTGGGGAGATTTCAGGGAGTGCCATTGCTGGTGGTAGTGGGAGAGGGAGAGGGAAGGGAGAGAGAGGAGGTGGGGGAGAAGGAGGAGAGGGGGACGGAGGAGGTGGAGGGGAAGGAGGAGGTGGAGGGGAAGGAGGAAGGGAAGGGGAAGGGGAAGAAGGTGGGGAAGGAGGAGCGGACGGGGAAGGAGGTCGTTCGAAAAGAAGGGGTGAAGGAAGGGGAGAAGGTGGATGGAGGAAAAGGGGATTCGAAGGCAAGCTGAGCCATGTGCATGCAGGCTCTTCTGAGGGCATTGGTAGGGGCGACGCTGTGGGTGCAAATGAAAGGACGGAGGGGGGTACGGGAGGAGCTATGGAAAGGGAGAGTGCAGGGAAGAAGAGAGACGAAGGCAGGAGTGGGGTGGAGAGGGGTGCAGATGGGGTTGTGTGCCAGGGGTGGGGTACGGGGGATGTAGATGGGGAGAGGTGTAATGCGGTGGGAGGGGAGGCGGATGTGGTGGTGGGAGGAAGGGATGAGAGAGATGGTGGGCCGTGGGAGGTGGTGGAGGGGGTAGAGGAGGGGGGAGGCGGAGGAGGAGGAGGGGGAGAGCAGCAGACTCGCAGTGGTAGTGGGGGAGCAAGGGAGGAAAGAGAGGTATGCAAGGGCTCAGAGAAGAAAGAGAAAGAGGGATGGGGGAGGACGGGGGCGGCAGAGGAGTGTAGGGAGAATGAAAGTCAACGGGTGGCAGTGTCAGCGGGTGGAGAGGCAAGAAGGGATGTGCGAGTGGTGGCATGCAATGGGGATGTGGCACGAGAAAGGGCAGATGCTGCTGATTCTGGCTTAGCGGATGGTTCTAACAAGGGTGATGTGATAGATGGTGGGGGTAAGGAGGGAATGGTGGCAGGTAAAGTCGAGGAGGAGGAGGAGGGAAGAGGAGGTGTGGAGGATGGGGGAGTGACCACGCAGGGAGGCAGGCCTGCAGTGGGCTTGGAGAGTTTGAAACGGTCTCTTGCAAGGGCCGAGGGGACTGGTGTGGGGGAAGCAGCGGTGAGAGATGCAGCGGGAGCAGACGCGCAGAGGGGAGAAGCGGGAAGGGAGGAGGGTGAGGGGGAAAGGGAGGGGAGCGGGGATGAGAGGGGAGATGGCAGGGGAGGGAGCGCGGGAGGGGTTGGCGAATCAAACGAGGAGGTGCGACTTGCGGAAGAAGATCAAAGGGTGCAAGTAATGCAATCAGTAGAGGTACGGTCCGTGGCAGCAGCAGCACCACCACCACCAGCAGCAGGAGCAGCGGGGCTTGCAGGGGGCCTGTGCTCACTACTGCCAGAGCAGAATGTGAAAGAAGGGGCAGTGGGGAGGGTGCAGTACAGGCGGAGAAAGGGCGGCTCTGGGTCCACACCGCTCAAGAAGAGAGGCCCTGTGTCTCTTGCGGATCTGCCCGTGTGCCAACTGGATGCTGCTGGTGATGGCGGTAGTGGTGCCGCTGTTGCTGGTGCTGGTGCTGGTGGGTTGCGCCTCGGCTCTGATGCCCAGTCCCGCTTTGCTGCTTCGGAAACAGCAGCCACAGCTGCAGCCGCCGCAGCAGCAGCCACGGCAACTGGCTCAGCAGTAGCAGTCACTGCAGCAGATGGTAACCCCCCGGTTCCATCCCCTCCTCGCTCTCTACTCAATCATCATGAAACGGAATGCACGGAGGTTACTGGCAGGGTAGGGGGGGGGGGGTGATGGGGGTGTGGGCGTGGGGGAGGAGGGGGTGGTGGAGCAGCAGCAGCGGAGACCAGGCTTGGGGATGCACTTTGAAAGCAGTCAAGTGCATGAGAAGGAGGAAAAGGAGAAGGAGAAGAGGGAGGAAACGGAGGATGGGTTGGAGGGGAGGGTTGTGGGGCGGAGAGAGGAGGGAAGAGAAGCAGAGGCGTATATAGGACCGTTGCAGGAGGCGTGGGGGGAGAGAGCGGAGTGTGGTGAGTGGGAGGGCGGGGTGGGGGCAGTGATGGGGAAGTCAACAGTGGGGAGGGCATTGGTGGGAAGGGCAGTGTCACAAGAAGCTGAGCGGCAGGATGTGCAAGGGCAATCCAGCCCACGCAAGAGACTCAAACGCTCGGGCTCCTCTGCAAAAAAAGCATCATTCAGTGCGTCTGATCCGGCTGTTGCTGCTACTGTTGCCGGCGTGCCAAGGAAACTGGTGCGTGGCGAATGCATGGGCATGGGAACGAGTCCTGTGGTGGAAGAAGGACTAGCTGCTGAACCTTTGAGAGAGCATGCTGAACCTCAATTGCACACCAGCCATGGTGGTATCGAACGAGCTCTAGCTGACACAGAAGCCATGCCTACAACTGCCCCTGCTATTGCTGCTGATGCCGCTGCTATTGCTGCTGATGCCGCTGCTGCTGCTTCTGCTTCTGCTGATGCTGCTGCTTCTCCGGTTGCTGCTGTGGTTGTGGAGGGCAACGGTGTGAGCCCTATGGATGGAGGTGGGCAGACACAAGGCACCTCTTTGCATGCGCGTGTAGGTGGGGATGCTACGCAGCAAAAAGGGACGATGATACAAGCCGCTGCTACTGGTGCTGCTGCGACTGCAAGCGACGATGCGCATGCGGATGCCCATGCTGTAGCGCATGAGCATGGGAACGAGGATGACCATGGGCGCGAGCATGAGCATTTGACAGAGGAGCAGCGTGCAGTGGTGCAGGCATGGCGTGGCATGTGCGCGCATCCCCTTGCTGCCACCTTCTCTTGCCCGCCTCACTCGAAAGTAAGCACCCCCTCTCTCCTCCTCCCTTCCTTCCCCCCTAGACAATCTCAAGGCATATCAAACAAAGGTTCTTCTTCACAACCTCTCTTGCTCTATGGGTTATTTGAAAGGCCCCCGGTTCTTTTCCCCGTCGCTCTCATCTCACCTCCGATTACTCGAAAGGCCTCCGGGTTCTGCTCTCACCACACTCAACCCCCCCACACCCATCCCCACTCCCCCAGGAGCACCCAGACTACACATCCATAGTGCGACAGCACATCGACCTGAGCATGATCGGCAGGCGGGCTTTAAGCGGCGAGTACCCCTCCCGGCACGCCTTCTTCCGGGACGTGGTGCAGCTGCTGGCCAATGCCTTTGTGGCCTTCCCCCACGACTCACACCACTTCACGGCTGCTCTCTCCTTCCGCTCGCACCTCTGCCAGGTGAGACTGGATGGGTGTGGGGTGGATGGGTGTGTGGGGTGGATGGGTGTGTGGGGCTGGTTGGGTGTGTGGGGTGGATGGGTGTGTGGGGCTGGTTGGGTGTGTGGGGTGGATGGGTGTGTGAGGCTGGTTGGGTGTGTGAGGCTGGTTGGGTGTGTGGGGCTGGTTGGGTGTGTGGGGTGGATGGGTGTGTGGGGCTGGTTGGGTGTGTGGGGCTGGTTGGGTGTGTGGGGCTGGTTGGGTGTGTGGGGCTGGTTGGGTGTGTGGGGCTGGTTGGGTGTGGGGCTGATGTTTCTTGCATTGATGTTTCTCTCCCTTTGTGTTGGGTTTCTGACCTGACCCTCCTTCTGTGAACCGGCTATCGGAGTTTGCCTTGTCTCTTGGTTTCCTTCTAACCCAAGGTTTCCCAGGACCGCGTCTCCTGTTCTCTTCTCACTCTCTGTAGCTCTCGCACGCAAGCAATCACTCACTCACTCACTCACTCACTCACTCACTCACTCTCGTTTGGTTCACAAACAGGAGATGTCAGCAGCCTTCCCCCAGACTCTTTTCCACTGCCCTTGTCAGAGCTCAGGGCAGTAGCAGCCATGCACGCACGTGCGCATGCACACTCACTCACTCTTTGTTGCCTATTTCCATTTCCATTTCCCTTTCCGTCAATCCAACCGGAAATGTCAGCAGCCTTGGCCACTGCTCCTGTCAGACCCGGGTTTAGCAGCAGATGCACACACACTCTCACTCACCCTCACTTGCCTTCCCCCTTCTCCCTTTCCCGCCATCCCTCCCTCTCCGTCAATCCCACAGGAGATGTCCGCAGCGTTCCCCCAAGACTCGTGGCCTCTTCCCTTGTCAGACCGCGGGGCAGCAGGCATGCACGCTTCCTGCAGCCACAGCAGCCGCGAAAGCTTCCCTTCAGGGGCTCGTGCAGGCACAGGGAGGGTGGGGAGAGGGGTGGCGCGGGGGAGGGGGGGTGGGGTTGATGGGGAGGAGGGGTGGGAAGAGGTGGAGGAGGGGGAGGAGGGGGAGGAGGGGGAGGAGGGGGAGGAGGAGGGTGAGGGGGCAGGGGCAGGGGAGGTTGGGAAGGTTGGGAGGGAGGGAGGAGAGGGAGGGGATAAGGGTGGGAGGATGGAACAGGAAGGTGAGGAGGGAGGGAGGAATGGAAAGGGAGGTGCAGAAAGGAGAGAAAGAAGAGAAGTGAGTGGAAGTGGGGAACGAGAAAATCCAGTGGGAGTGGTAGGGAGAAGGGGAGGGGAGAAGGGAGAGGGGAGAGGGGGAGCAGGGGTAAGAATAGAGATAGCGGACACGGGATGTTGTGAAGGGGAGACTGTGGATGATAATAGTGGTGCAGGGGGTGCAGGGGATGCAGGCACCAAGGCTGCTGAGCATCATAACCACACAGAGCAACTAAGAGGGGGAGAAGCGGCGGGAGCGAACAGAGGTGGTGACGGGGAGGCGGGGGAGGCGGAGGAGGAAGGGAGGGAGGGAGGGCTGTCTGGGTGTCGATCCGGGAGGAGCAAGGCGAGCAGCAGCGGGAGAAGCACAGGAGGGGCGTCAACAGGAGCAGGGTCTACAGCAGGCAAGACAGAGAGCGGTGCAGGGAGGGGAGATGGAAGGGGGAGTGGGAGAGAGAGAAGCTCACAAAGTGAGGCAGAGGCAGAGGAGGTAGCAGCAGGGGAGGGGGGAGCTGGCACGCACACCAGCCCGACAAGTCCCACCAGTGCTGGTGGGGAGAGTGCAGGGGGCATGGTGACGCGGCACAAGAGGCGCATGCGGGGTGACTTTTGAGTGGACTCAAAAGTCACTGCGGGGGGCATGGTGACGCGTCAGAGGAGGCGCATTCGGGAGGATGGGGCAGCGGAGAGCAGGCAGATCCGGCCGAGAGAGGACCCACGAGGGAAGACAGTGGAGCGATGAGAGCTGTAGGGAGGAGACGAGATGGATGGGCTTGACTTTTGAGGCGCCTCAATCGTCAGTCAGATACAACCCAGGGAGGAATAAAGCGGGAAGACAGGGGGGCGATGAGAGCTGCAGAGTGTCAGAGGTCCACTGGTGATCCCCGATTGATCCTAGGGAAAAGTTACAGGCTCGTTGTCCTGGGGAGTTATGGGCGCACTGACCCGCTACTTAACAAGCTTTTTTATCCCAATGGTTTAGTGGTTGGGATTCTGACACAGAGAAGAGATGAGATGGATGGGTTTGAGAGGGGAAGGCCTGGGGAATCTCAGAAGGGACGCCCACACGGGGGAAGGAGAGGGGATGGATGCTTTGTTGTTTGAAGGTGCAGAGGGTGCCGATTGGGTGGTGATGAGCGGGGGCATTGGCTTTGTGCTGTGGTGAAGAGCCTATGGTTGGGTGGTGTGTGAGTGTGTGTGAGGGGGAGAGGAGGGGGGAGGGGAGAGGATTGCAGTGTGAGGAGGCAAGGAGGCTGTGTGCATGGCAGGATCTCATGCACGCATGTACTAACTCATGCACGTATTCACATGTGCCCAGCCCACACACTTGTGTAGTGGCGCGGGGCGGGTGGCAGGGTGGGCCCCCACAGAAGACGCCGTTGCAAATGCAATTGCGATCCTACAGGCAAGCCGTGGGCATGGCAGGGAGAGCAGACCGCTAATGTAACGTAACACTAGACTAGGTACTTGTGTAAGCAGTACTAAGGGAGGGAGCCAAACTGCGCGTAGTAGCAGCGCCCAGGCTAGGCTGGTACTTAGGACTGTGTGTGTCAAGGTCAGTGTTTAGTGCACTGTGTTAGACAGCGGTTACACTAGGCCTCAGGGAGTTTCATGTGTGGAGTGGAGTGGAAAGAGGTGAGAATATTTTAGGAGCTAAACAGTGCAACCACTCCACACTGCTTGACAGGGACTGTGCTGGATGTATAGTGCTACCCGAGCGTGTGGTAGGCTGAAGACCACGATGTTTCCTGCCAGTGCAGCACACACGGGGGACTAATCTAGAAGCTAGGGGCTTTTCCAGAAGCTGGAGTGAGGTGGGGGTTGTGTAATGCAGGAGGCATGACATATCTTACCGTACCAGCATGTTTAACACTAAGGGAAGATGTTTACTTCTGTGACTGAATCTAACCTCTTTCATGGTTTTTTCCCCGCACAGTTTATTGCTACTCAGGAGAAAAATTGGGCTATTAAATGGAGGCAACTCAACTTACGCAACTAATAACAACCTATTCTTTACACCCACTCACCCCCCCCCCCCCCCCTCCCTGTTACCCGCTGCACTTCCCACACCACAATGCACATGACTAGCTGGCTGGCAGCAGAGAGGGGGTACCAGTACTGATAACTGCAGAGCAGTCTCAACAAGACTGTTTCCTTCCCGCTTGGCAAGCAGCCAATCTCCACCCCACCCCAGCGCCTGGACAGTGCAGGTGCACTATCACAGGGGTCAAAATGGAAGCACCTATAGCCAGCCATGCACGGCGCATGCTTGTGGAATGATGGCTGATGGATGCCCTGTGCTTCTGCGCTTACACTACACATTGCTACATGCTTCATGCAGGGGAAACGGCACAGGAGCAACAACCACTCCACACACTAGCTCCGTAGGCACGGCCCTTCTCTCCCCACTCCTCTCACGAAACAACAACACAACCCAACTCCCTTCAACTCTCAAACGAACCTTGCTCTCAACCCCTGCTCTACCTCATTGCCAGCAGTTACACCCACACCTCCCTCTCATGGCACTGCCTCACAAGCACCACCCTAGGCACCAGAATCTCCACCCCTCCGCCGCTACTGGTATCAAATTTATTGTCTACTCGACAAAAACATCGCCTCAGCTTGCGGTCTTGGGTGGCAGAAACACCCGCACCTCCCGCTCATGATACTGGCTCACAGGCACCAACTTAGGCACCAGAATCTCCACGCCTCCACCGCTATCTGAGAAGAAAGCCTTGACGTCGGCACTGTCGGGGATCCTGGAGGGGAGCACTATCTCGCGCACGAACTCCCCTGGAGGGCAGTGCTCGGGGTGCGGGTCTGTGAGGTGGAAGGCCCGGTCCCAGCGGATTAGGGACGGCTGGCGCATGGATGAGGCACATTGCACCTGAAAGGGCGAATGGAGAGGGGGACGGGGACGGGGAGGAGAAGAGAGGGGGAGAGAATGCTTGGTGCGGTTGGGGGGAGAGCTGTGAACGGAGAAGGCCTGTTTACGCTTGAGCACCTTCCATTGTGGCATTCATCTAGCACAAGTGCCATCCTTTCACAACTCCCTGCACACTGGCACACCTGCACATGTGAACCATAGTCACCTTTCACCTCTTTCCCTGCCACTCTTCACCCCATTCTCGCCCCTCACTTCCCCACTCCCCACTCCCCACTCCCCCCTCTTACCTTGACAATGCCATGCGAGAGGGAGTTGCGCCACGTCACCCGGAGCTTGGACAGGTCAGCAAAGGGCAGGCTGACGAGGATCAGGAACGACGTGGCATCCTCGTAGAGAGTCTTGGCACACGTCACAGGGCCCGACACCTGAGGGGGGAAGTGGGGCGAAGGGGTGGAGGGGGAAGTAGAGGGAGGCCTTTGAGTTGACTAAAAAATTCATCCTAGTAGAGTGTCTTGGCGGCACACGTCACAGGGCCCGACACCTGAGGGGGGAAGTGGCGGGGAGGGGGGGTGGAGGGGGGGACTTCTGAGTTGGCTCAAAAGGCATCCTCATAGAGAGTCTTGGTGCATGTCACAGGGCCCGACACCTGAGGCAAGGGGGGAAGGGGCAAGGGAGGAAGGGGGGGGGGGGGGGGGGGGGTGACGAGAGGGGCACAGGGGATGAGGGGGGCAAGGAAGATTACGAGAGTGGGGGGAGGAATGGAGAGAAGGGAAGGAGGGGGGGGAGGGGGGGTTGGAGTGGAGTGAGAGAAGCAGGGTACAAGAGAGGGCAGGGTACAAGAGAGGGCAGGGTTACCGGCTTTGCTCCTGTGAGGTAGCGGCTGGGGAAGGCCACACCTGGGGGAGGTCACACCTGGGGGAGGTCACACCTGGGGGAGGCCACACCTGGGGGGGGTCACACCTGGGGGAGGTCACACCTGGGGGAGGTCACACCTGGGGGAGGTCGCACCTGGGGGAGGTTACACCTGGGGGAGGTTGCACCTGGGGTTGTTACAACTGGGGGAGGTCACACCTGGGGGAGGTCGCACCTGGGGGAGGTCGCACCTGGGTGAGCACGCCATAGCACTCGGAGAGCCAGTAGGGCGGCTGCACGATCTGCTCCTCTGACTGCTCCTGTGGCGACCCCTCCTTTGATGCCTCCACCTCCATGTCCTCCCTGCCCCTTGCGCCCCCTCCATGCGCCAGGCCTAATAGGTCCCCAAACCCTTTTGCACCCCCTTGCACCTGCACCCTTGCCCCTCCTCTTCCTCCTCCTCCTTCCCTTCCTCCCCCGTCTTCCCCTCTACCTCCTCCTCCTCCTCCTTCCCCTCTACCTCCTCCTACTCCTCCTCCTCCTCCTCCTCCTCCTCCTCCTCCTCCTCCTACTACTAATATTACTCTTCCTCCTCCTCTTCCTTCCCCCCTTTCACCTCTCCCTCCCCCGCTGCTCCCACTATCATCCCGCACAGCCCTAATCTCCCCATCTATCCCCCCACGACTCCTCTTACCCAACCGCCCTCCAAGCCCGCCCTCTTCCTCCTCCACCCTCACTCTCCCTCCTCCTCCTCTCCATTCCTCCCTCCCCTCACCCACGGAATCCGCAAGGCTCAGCGTGGTCATTGGAGTGCCGTCAGAAAACACACCAGCCCCCACGCCCCTACACGCCACTCCGTCCCCATCCCTCCCTCGCCGACCCCTCTCCTCCAACCGCGCTTCACCCCTTTCCACTCCTCGCAACAGCTCTGCCTCCCTGCCGTCTCCGCCCCAGCCCCCTCCTCGCCCCTCGCCTGGTCCCTGAGAGGCCCAGTGCGCCCCTGAGACGGGGACAGGAAGGCTTGCAGAGGGGTAAGCAGGAGAAGCGTTGGAACGAGGTGGATGGGACAAGGGGGACCGCTGCTGCTGCTGTTGTTGCTGCTGGTGCTGCTGCTGCTGGTGCTGCCGTTGTTGGTGCTGCTGGCGCTGCTGCTGCTGGTGTTGCTGCTGTTGATGCTTCTGTTCCTCCTGCTGTTGCTGCTGCTTCTGCTGCCGTTCTCGTTGCTGCTGCTGCTGCTGCTGCTCCTGCCACCGTTTTCCTAGTAGCGCCGTGCCTGCAGACGTTTTAACGTCAGACAGCGACTGATGCGACTGCGAGTCCTCTTGCTCTGGGGCCGAAACAGCAGAGGTAGCAGCAGCACCAGAGGCAGCAGCGGTGCCTGCAGCCCCAGCAGAGGCAGCGGCGGTGGCAGTGGTGGTGTCTTGGGAGAGGGAGGAGATGCGCCAGTCGCTGAACTCGTCTGCTTCGTTGGTCAACACAAAGCCCCACTCGCGGCCTGAGAGTGAGGGCAGAGGCAAGGTGAGTGGGCAGGAGAGTAGGGGGGAGATGAAGGGGAGAGAAGAGAACGGACATGAAAGGGAGAGGAGAGGGAGGAGATGCGCCGGTCGCTGAACTCGTCTGCTTCGTTGGTCAACACAAAGCCCCACTCGCGGCCCGGGGGACGGGGAAAGACAAGGTGAGTGGGCAGGGGAAAAGGGGGGGGTTGAAAGGGAGAGGCGAGAAGGGAGGAGATAAACGGGAGAGAAGAGAGAAGAGGGAGGGGGTGTGAGGGATGAGGGGGAGGGAGTAGGGAGTAGGGAGGAGGGAGGGGGATGGAGGAGGGAGGAGGGAGGAGGGAGGAGGAGGGAAGAGGAGGCTGAACAGATGAGGAGATTTAAAAGCTCAGAATCAAGGTTTCCTAGATCACAGGACTTAGCAACCGGCCTCCCAAGAAGCGACAGCACCGAGAAAGCTACAGAACACCCCACCCCATCCCCAATCCACTCTCCTCTGAGTGAGCAAGCGCGCACCTGTGAGATCAATCCAGCGCTGGCGTTCATGCGGGGGCACGCAGGAGAGGTCGGGCGTGCGCAGGAACTGCACGCCGTGAATGCACTGTGGGTTGGACAGCCCCTTGTAGCGCTTGCGCTGCATGCGGTGCGACCGCACAAAGCCCTTTTCGGCACTGAAGGGAAACTGCGGCTCGCCGAACCTGCGCGGTTGGGCGGGAGAGCGGAGGTAGGGGGGGAGGTGTGGGGGGGGGGGGGGGGGGGGGGGGAAGGGAAAAGGAGGAGAGGAGAGGATTGGAAGGTTGAAGACAGGGGAGAGAGAGGTCGTGGCCTGTTGGTGGTTGCATCTGCTTTGCAGGTGCGTGCTTCGTGAAGCTGTGGAGTCCCAATAATTTGATATTACAAGAGGTCAACCTTCCCGTCTCTAGGAGAAATTGCTTGAAGAACGTAGGTTTCAGTCTCCTGAATGTTTTGCTGTGCGTTCTTTCTCTAGCGGGTCGCCCGAACATTCCCTGGATCCAATACTGAGGCACGCGCGCGGCAGGTTTTCTAGTGGCTTTATGCACAACAAACCCTAGAAGGTTAAAAAGTTTTATTAGCACACTGTCCCACACTGCCCCACACTGTCCCACCGTGGCCCCCACCCACGCCGCACCTGGAGTGGCCGTTCATGTAAGACCGCAGCTGCATCTTGCCGAGGGCGTTGTGCGGGCGCACGCGGAAGGCCCACATGTAGCAGTTCTCCATGTCGTGCTGCACCATGAACTCCTCCAGCCGCAGATCCGCCTTCTCCACCGCCCCCACCCACTCCCTCCCCACCAGCCGCGCCTGTTGTGAAGGGGAACCGGGGGGGGGGAAGGCGGGGGAGCGGGGAGCGGGGGGCGGGGGAGGAGAACAAAGGGAGGGACGCAGAAGGGAGAGGCAGAGGTCGGGGCGAGAGGTCGGGGCGAGAGGGAGGGAAGGAGGAAATGGGTGGAGGGGTTAAAAATTGGGTAGGGAAGGGGGATGAGGTGATGCTTGAACCTGCTGCTTCTTTCTTCCATGCCACTTGCTGCCCCTCTCTCTAATGACCCAAGAAGAGAGAAGGCTAGACCTCGACCCCTCCTCCACCCCAACCTGGCAAACCACCCATGCCCTTCTGCCCCCTTGCCCATGTCCTTTTCTGCCCCCTACACCACCCACCTTGGCCCTGCCCATGTCCGTGCAGGGCGGTAGTTGTGTGCGTGAAGAAGAAGCAGCAGCAGCCCATAAAGAACTCCGAGTGTAAGCAACAAAACAAAACAGCACTTCCTCTTCCCAACCCACCCACCTTGGCTTTATCATTGAGTGCGGGGCGGTAGTAGTGCGTGAAGAAGAAGAATGCGCCCCAGATGAGGTCGTCGCGGCGCACAAAGCGGCGCGCCTTGGAGCTCATACTGCCCCCCGGCGCCGCTGCCATTGGCGAGGGCACAGGGGGCGCGGAGAGGGCTGCGGAGTGGGGCGGGGGGAGGGGCTGCGGAGAGGCCTCGTGCTCCTGCTGCTGCTCCTGCTGCTGGTGTTGCTGCTGGTGTTGCTGCTGCTGGTGTTGCTGCTGCTGGTGTTGCTGCTGCTGGTGTTGCTGCTGCTGGTGTTGGTGGTGTTGGTGGTGCTGATGGTGGTGGTGTTGGTGTGTTGTAGGGGCAGTGGAGGGAGACGTGTAGATGGGTGCTGATGGGTGCATTTGGGAGGCGGAGGGGTAGTGCAGCGGGGTGATGTCCGTGCTGTGAGCGGGAAAGCGTGGGGAAATGGGGAGGGGGGAAGGGTGAGGGCGGAGTGATAGGAGTTAGGAGAGTGCGGGAATGGAGAATGGGAAAGACGCAAGCGGAGAGGGAGGGTGAGAGGGGGGGGAGAGAAGGGGAGAGAATGGGGGAGAGAGAGGGAACGAGAAATGTCAGGCGAGAGAATGGGATTAAACAGAAAGGCGAATGGAGTAACGGATGGTCAGGGTGAAAGACCCAAGCGAGAGACACGAACGGAAGAATCCACCAGCGCACATCCACCTTCCTGAACCACTCCAAACCCACCTGTTCAGTGCATGTCCACCCCCGTTACTGCCCAACCCCATTACAGTCACAGCACCACCGCCTCCCTCCCCGCCTCCTCCTCTGTCTTCATACTGCTGCTGCTGCTGGTGTGGTTGGTGCACGTAGTGCGACGGCTGATGCTGCTGCGGCTGCGAATGCTGCTGCTGCTGCTGCTGCTGCGAATGTTGGTGCTGCTGCGGAGGTTGTGGGGCCCAGGGGAGCTTGGAGAACGGAAAGGCGGATGGGCGCGCAGCCTCGCTGCTCACACCACCTGCCGCGCCTCCATCCGCAGTACTACCAGCAGCATTGCGAGCAGCCGCAGCAGCAGCGGCAGCGTGGGAACGGGGCGAAGCGGCAATCGCATCATGGGCTGTCGCGTGGAAGCTGATACCAGCACCAGCGGCAGCGGCGGCAGAGGCAGACGCAGCGGGCAAGCGGAGCAGGGAGCGCGAGGAGGAGGTGAGACCTAGCGACATGTCGAGCATACTGGGGATGGCGGCAGGCGCAGAGGCACAGGCAGAGGCAGCGACAACGGCAGCCGCAGGACCCGGGGGGGCGGGAGGCGCAAAGGGCGAGTCAGAAGGACAGTTGGCCCCGCTGACAACATTGCCCGCGTGGGCAGCGTGGGCAGCGGAAGCAGGTCTGCTGGTGGGGCCGGTGGTGGCAGCAGCAGCAGCAGCAGCACCGCTACCAGCACCAGCAGCACCGCTACCAGCACCAGCACCACCGCTGCCGCCGCTGCCACCGCTCCTATCAGGATCACTGCAGTTCCTCCCCTCTTGCCTTGGACACACAAAGCCCCTCTCCACACTCACACCGCTTCCGCCCCCCTTACCTTCCCACTCTTCCCCCTCGCCCTTTGCCCCCCCATCTCCACCCATCCCCTCATCTCTTCCCCCATTCTCGACCCCATACCCCACTCGCTCCCCTTCCCTTCCGCCTCCTCCCCGCTCCTGCCCGTCAGGCGGAGAGGAACCGCGCGCGGAGGGGCGCATGGGGAAGAAGAAGGGCAGCGGATGGCCTGCCGGCGCGGAGTCGGGGTCCGCGCGGTCCGAAAGTGCGGAGGGTTGCGCGTCGTCGGGATGGCGGGAAGCGTCGTGGCGAGCGCGCGCGATCGGGCTGCGATTCTTGTGCGACGGCTGCGTCGGCGGCTGGTGCGACGACTGGTTGCGCTGCGGTGAAGGGTGGCTGTCGCGGCCGTAGTCGCCGCCGGTCGCGTACCCGCGCTGCGACGCCTCCGCCAATGGCTGCGAACGAGACATGTGGAGCGGGGAAGGGGTAATACGACACGAGACAGAAACGCAGGCGGAAGGGGAGATGAACACGACGGATACGCCCGTTGAGAGGCCCCTCAAAACTTCTGAGACGCTTCGAAACACGCGGATCCATGGTTGGAAGGCCCAGAAGACGAGATCGAGCCGAGTGCGACGGACTCCATTGCACGGGACGGACGCGAGCCGTGCGATAACGCGCCGTGCGACGACTACGCGCAGCGGTAGCACCACCTGTGGGTTGACCCTATGATCGGCCGCGGCCTCCCGACGACCCTCGCCGCACCAGCGACAAATGCGGCCGCGATCGCTTGCGGAGCGGCGGTAAGCAAAACAATCAGCGTATTGGCCACGCCGCGAATTTCAGAGGCGAAACGCGGCGACGTAACGGGAGTCGCACGGCTGGCTGCGACGACGCTAGAAACTAAGAACGGTGGGTGGTGGTAATAGGGGACGCGGCAGGTACTACTGCTGCTACTACTATTTCTAGCACTGACGACGAGCAGAGGAAGGCAGAGAGAAAGAGCGAGAGAGAGAGAGAGAGAGCAGCAGCAGCAGTAGCAGCATGGTCCGCAGCAATATGATACAGTTCCTGGAGCAACACGGAAGGCGCCCGCTCGTCTGACTTGTACCAGAGTAACCAGTCGATTGCCAGCGCTCGCTAGTTGATAGCGATGGGACCGGGGTTTCAGATGTGGCGAGAATGCGGAGCACCGCGGGCCTGACTACCATCGGCGCGAGACGACGTGGCGACATGCGCGTTCGCCGCGAAACGCGGGAACGCACTACCTATCTCATAAGGAAAAAAGAAGGGGATAAAAACGGTCGAAGAGACTAATCCAAACACTCACTCGGAAAAGGCTTAATCTGGGAGGAAATGAGGACAACTCTGACAGAGAAAAGCCAAAATAGAGAAAAGAGCTACTGATTTGAAGGAAACGACACGATGCAGTAGTGGCACGGCAGGGAAGAAGAATAGCTTGCACCGTCGCCGGTCGGAAGCGGAGTATTCTCTGTTACCTGTTGAAGGGGTCTCGGGCCGTTGGCGGAAGATGGTTGCTGCTGCGAGTTAGCTGCCGGGGAATACGGCGTATGTTGCGGTGACGAACAGGTAACGGCCACGTCGCCTTGACCGTTGCGAGGCAAACGCGCTGCGACATGCTCTTGGTGCTGCTGCGATAAGGACGAGCCATTATCTCCCAAACTTAGAGGCGGCGCGGATGTTAAAAAGGAGACACTTTCGCCAACGCGCGAGCCGCGTCCATCTCTTTCCATAAGGAGCGGCAGAAGCAGAAAAGGCAGCGTCACTCGACGCTGCGGCTGAGCGTTCGTTGATATCGCCGTCGCTGCAAAGTAATTAAAACGATAATCCTTTACTCCCGCTAGAGCCCGCGCTGTCGTCGTGAGTATGGATCTCAGTACGCATCAGGTGCCATGAGTTGATAAAAAATTAGCAATGAGATCAGTAAACGTTCACAGGAGTTTGGTTTGACTCTTTGTGCTGTATAAGAGCGGTGAGGGGAAACGAGCTGGAGAAGTTAAAAGAGAGTGACGCGTGGAGGGAAGAGGTGAGCAGCAGCTGTGTGGGGTGGGGTGGAAGGATTGGGTTGGGCTCGGTCGGATTTGGGCTGGGTGGTTTTGGAGAAGCGAAATGACGGAAACCCGAACGGGCTCCACAAACCTCCTCCTTCCCGACTTCCCTTCGCCCCTTGCCCCTCCCCATCCCTCCTCCTCCCCGCCCGACCAGAAACGACACGGCATGAAGCGAAACGATTACCCGGTCACGGTTCATGACGAAGCAGAGCGCAGTGGGGGGGGAGCTGGGAAGAGGGGAGGGGGGGACCTGCATCGGTGGGTGGAGCCTGCCTCCCCCGTTGCTGAACCAACAGAACGCGGAACCAGCATGTGATGAGAGATTTTGTGTCGTGTAATGGCTCGGCTTCTCATTGCTCGAGACTTGGGAACCTGAGCTGCTTAGGAGAACTGCTCAATGCATGCAACCCCAAGGCTGGCTTATCTGGCCTCCCCCGAGCCATGCTGGACGAGAAGGCGAGTTCATCCGTTCCTTCCCCCTGTCTGTGTGTGCAGAATCTGCAGATCTGGCAGGTGGAGAGGGGAGGTAGTGTCTGCATTGAGAGATGACATGAGAGACCAAGAGATTTTTGTGCTGAATTGACATATCAAGGAATCGGTTGGTGACCTTTGGAAGAGTCTTCGGGGGAATAGAACACAAACATTCGGATGAGTTCAAGTTTCCTCTCTAAGAAACCATTTTGGGGCCCTTATGACTGGCAAACGGCCTGCCCGATAATAATTCTGCTCCATGATTCTGAAGAGCGGTGGCCTGTGATAAGGTTTCGACTCACCAGCAACGCCAGGCCAGAAATATGAAAACCCGACGCTGCTGTGATATAAGGGCGGTGCATTGAGGGAAGGCGGCTCTCGAAAGGCATATGTAACTGTTCTATCACCCAAACTTCGATTACGTCATTGAGTTTGATAAACCTCATATCATCAGGTCCCGTTCAGCTTTCTAAAGGCACTAACACGGTCAAGCACAAATAACTGAAAGCACAGAGAACGATATATCTGAAGTAAACACGGATAAAATAATTTCGTTTTATGATATAACTATGATAATAATATCTGAATTAATAGAACATCAGTCCGTTTGACCGCCGTCGAATGTCTTTACATCATCGATGAAGGTATCAATCTTAAATCTCCATGCAGAAAAGTGTTTTGGGTTGATTCCCAACGCTTAGATATAAGATTTATGTTTTGCTCATTCAGATAGGTACTTGGCTAGGTTTATCTTTTAACGTATACAATCTTCCAAAGCATTATATCTCGATAATGTTTCAACACGACTATATGTTGCATATAAACACTATTAATCTAAAGGGATGATTTTTGAATATGTAATAATTGTCGATTTCAACCTGTAAAATATAAATACGGCGTATATGAAGAAATCCATACTTTCAAGAAACTGCGCATGCCAGTGGATCCGAACTCGTCATTTAACAAAAACTAACTGTACATACAGTTTTGCATTCGGTATCAGCCTGCAACCCGCCCCCAGGTAGTCCCCAAGTCTCCCAGCTCTGTCAATTGGAACCTAAGGCTCGAAAAGCTGACGTTCACCGCATGGGAGGTCACCTCACCACCACCACCAGGGCACATGATATCAGGGTAGATGTCTTAACCATCGGGTAAATGCTACTCCGTATTTCAATCGATTTTAGCAGGCTGACCCTAGCCCAATACAAACGCCAAACCATTCCAAGTTCACGGTTCACACGCAGTTCCAAAATTTGAGAATAGCAGCACTTCCACCTTGTTGTGCCTTGCTTCGAAACCTAAAACGGGAAGTCTCCAGCTGGCCTTGCTGCTCCCGTTCATTATCGAAGACATACTTCCGCGCAACTCCCAGTCCCGCACAACCCCAGGCACCTGAAATGATTTAGACGCGTACAAGGAACACACAAGTGGATCTAAATTGCACAGACGGGATCAATGTGATACAGTCGGTGCTCATTACGAGAACACCAGGTATGCGGGCGGCATACTCGTGAAACGTGTTCCGGGAATTTCGCCATTTTCGCCCTTGTCGCCACGGGCAAAATTGTGGCTCTAACATGAAATTGTAATGTGAGTCGACTGTAGGGCCTTAATTTCGTAACCAGGTAAACATTTCTGATGACCGGTAACCGTTGTTGTTTATGAACTGTAGATATGTTTCTTCCGCAACTTGGTGACTGTACCCCGAAATCAGCACAATGGTTAATTTAGACACTCACGGGCAAAACGCTCGCGAGTGACTAAATATCTAATTGTGAAAATAAAATTGTTTGTGATGGGTTGAGCATCGACTGTACAAGATTGAAGGAATGGGCAAACATTACACAACAAATATCTAAAACTGTAATTCGTGAAATGATGTTGTATTTCACTACAAGAGGACCTCATAATGATGTTATGTACCGAATACTGTTCATATGTTTTTATTTTCCCGTTTGCAGCAAGGGAAAATAAATCAAAAGGAAACATATTTTTTATGCCATATTTTTATTCAATGACAATGTATGGCGTTATATAATTCCAATTTCATTTTAGCACCTCCCGCACAACAAGGGGCTCTGTAAGGAATTAATGTTCTTACATTCTTTCATTGTTTAAGTAGAGTCGTTCGTAACATATTCTGTAGTTTTCCAACCGCAAGTGTCCGCAATTGGTGATGACTCTATCACCTCGACTTGGGACGCATTTCACTAGTCTGCAGAATGACTTCGTCGCTTGCATGCATGGCGGCTGGTCCTTTGCCTGCTCAATCTCTCGACGTGGCACTTGTCTCTCCCTCTCCACGCCTTCTAGGCATGCATATGCGACTCGGCATCGCAAGAAATCGCAATCACTCGCCATTGAAACCCGGATCGCTTGATTGCAGTCTTATTGAAACTCCGTATTTCTCACCATCTCTGTTGAGCGTGATTTGTCTGTGTTGAAACTATCTCACTTTGACGATCGTCGTTCGTGCTTCTCGGCCTCCTTCCTCCCTGCAGCCATGAACGCGTCAGCTCTCCTCGTCCCCACGGCTCTGTTTGTCGCACTATCACCTGGCTTTTTATTGCAAATCCCAGGAGACAAGGGTCCCGTAGACGTGGCTCCTAACCGGGTGCCAGCGTCGTCTGTGGTGGTGCATGCTGCGGTTTTTGCTGCAGCAAACTATGGCCTCCAAACTATGAAGAAAATGCCCAAGTGATATGTGCTCATGTGTGAGGTTGCAGCAGTTCAGAAATCTTGGGGTGATGGCGCTCGAACTTCTCAATCCGCCGATATCTGTATGTCACGGGTGTTTCATCATATAGGAGAACTAGCGGTGTGTTTTTTGCCTTCGGCTTAGGATATGATGGTCGTTCAGAAGCTTTTCTTCTGCTTGGAAGGAGCTCTTTCTTAGCATGCCTGATTGCTGAATGTTGTTTCCAGAATATAGATAGTACAGGAGATCTATATAAGCTGATGAACCAGATGAATTGCATGAAATAACATCACATGCCCAGGAAGTTGGGTGCAGTCATTACAGTAGAGACTGAGAAAAACCTGCATACAAAACGAGGGAACACAATAAGTAGTTACGCTTAGTAATCATCCAACAATATATTTCAAACGAACGTTGACAATTTTGTAAGCTGCAGCAACATTTACGGATTGTCACGCCTACCTCTTCGATTGGGGTGGTAGCGATTTAGCTGTCCGTGAGCTCTCTGGTTTCCGATCCTTGGCTTTCTGAGACCGCTGAAACACCTGACCGCCAACGCGTCCTCCGCCTTCCGCTGCCTCCGCTACTTCCCCCAGCGGCGTTACCAACACAGCCGCGAGAAGCACGGTTACGGCGCAAAGGCGAGGCAGAGCATCTTGTACCTGAGACGATGAAAGAATCCTGAGCTGAGATTCGCGTCTGAGGGACCAGGAGGCCGAATAGTAAATGGCAGAGATGCAGTGCGGTGAGCAGACGTGCGGTACGGTTCGTTTCAACAAAAAATCTAGCGAGAAGTTCTGCACTGAGGACAAAGAAACAATGATAGGACATCGAAGGGGTCCAAGAATGCGAGTGGAACACATGCGCAGAGAGACACAAGGAGGACAACGACACACCAGCACAACCTAGAGAGCCCAAATGTCGCGTCCCAGAAACATCGGAGCAGTACAACTAAAGTGAGTAAACTGCTGAGAGCAACCAGTAATGTGGCAAGAAGACCGTCCTGTCCTTACCCGGTGTAAGGCGTATCAGTGGAGACGGTGGCGCGCGTGGAGCAAAAGCAACGAAGACGTCGCGATGGTCGGAACACCTGTGCTTTCCGGTTCAGCGTTACCGAGGCACCAAGTTGGTGTGCTGGAAGAGTAGCGTTAAGCGAGAACATGGCGAGCCGGGGGGTAGCAGCGAAGACAGGGAATTCGGGGGAAAGCGGTCAGGTGTGAAGAAGAGGACTTCACGAGAGGAAGTCGAAATGGATGGTGAAGGGAGACTAGCCTCGCACTGGCAACTATCCATCAGCATAAACTCGCGTTTGCTCTCCAACGAAAGGCGTGTGTCCTTGCCGATCGCAGCCTGGTTTCAAGTTTGGTGTGTCCGTTATTTCACAGGAAAAACTGCTATCAAAGTGAAATGACCAAGAGCATTTGAGAATTTTGAGTTTCGGTTCATTGTCATTACAAACAGGCCCTTGCAATCTTAGTGTTTAGACCCGAAGCCCCGAAAGTCTTTATTTTAGGCCAGATTCAGGCCCCTTCAATGCTAGGGCAGTGCGATTGCTACACTCCGTATTAAATAATTGAAACACCTTGAACTAGTCTAAGGAAGTGCATGCATCATTCACGTTCTCCCATGCAACATCCTAGCTGCGCACCTGATGCATCAACAAGCAGAACTCAATCATGTTGCAACTTCAAGAAATAACTACGGCTGGCAAAGCAGATAGTAAATATTAGTAAACAGGCCCTTGCAATCTTAGTGTTTAGACCCGAAGCCCCGAAAGTCTTTATTTTAGGCCAGATTCAGGCCCCTTCAATGCTAGGGCAGTGCGATTGCTACACTCCGTATTAAATAATTGAAACACCTTGAACTAGTCTAAGGAAGTGCATGCATCATTCACGTTCTCCCATGCAACATCCTAGCTGCGCACCTGATGCATCAACAAGCAGAACTCAATCATGTTGCAACTTCAAGAAATAACTACGGCTGGCAAAGCAGATAGTAAATATTATATAACTGAAGGAAACACATTTTTGCTATACAAATGTCTAAGGCTAGCCCAGCCGACTCAATAATGAAATTTGCATGCTGTTAGTACTGTCACTTGCTCGCATACTTTAATCAAAGTGAGGTCAAACATCACGAGGAAAAAACAGACTCCATTTTCCCCACTGGTGAGGGTGCAGTGAGCTCCACAATCTCTCCTGAACGCCCACCATAAAAGTCCAGCCCAGAGGGTTTGGGACGGGATTGTAGCTCTCTATGCTCTTGGCAGAGGGCGCAGGGGTGGCAGAGGAAGTGAGTCGGACAGTCACCAGCGGGTTCAGCCTGCCAGTGAGGAAACGACACACGACAAAAGAAAAGATAGGGTTTGAAGGAGGTCCCACTGGTTCCAGGGAAACAATGCGTCAGCGATTAGGTAGGCACCGTCAAATGAAATTTGCATGCGGAGATGATGTTATTGGAACCTGATGTAACCAAGGCGTGTACGCATGACGCAATGCCAACTGGTTCGTGTGTCCAACATGGATGGAGGGCTTTATAACCAGCACAAAAAAACGAGATGCTAACTCCACAGGAGGCAAACCAGAACATGCAGGAGAGAAGCAAAAATTTGAGTCGACTCAAAAGTCAAGGAGAGAAGCATGGAACAGGAAAGAAGAGGGATGGTACTGGCATCTAAGAAGGATCACAAGAGAGCATTTGGACCAGGAACAAGCAGAATACAACGAGCAAGGAGACGATTGGGTGAGTAAGGCATCGAGAAAGCACCTTCAAGTGGTACTTTGCCCGGAGCTCTGAGCGGTAGTTGCAGGCATAACAGGAGATGGGCGTGCACCAGAAGGCACCGGGGCCGAGAGTGCTGTACGCTGCCCACACAATGCAGCCGCCCAGCAGACAGTGCATCACACATGGGCCAAAGCACTGCCTCCCATGCAGCCGTTGCACGTTCTGAGGGGCGGAGGGATGGGTGAGGGAGTGGTGGAAAGGGGGAAATGGTGGTATGGGAAAAGAGGAAGTAGGAGGGCAAAGAATGGTAAGAGGTCTGGCGTGAGAGAAGAAGAAGAAGGGAGGGATGGGGAGGAATGGAAGTAAAAGGGGAGAGAAGAAGGAAAGGGCTTCACCGGATAAGGCTAAAGGGCAGCAGAGAAACAGAGTGTAGGTCAGGAGAGGCTGGTTAAAAGCTCAGCAGAATAAACAGACCGAATCCAAGCGCTGGGTGGCGGGAGGTGAGGAAAGGGCGTCGGTGACGGGAAGGCCAAGTGTGCGTGCGTTGCTAGGGGGTCGCAGGAGCAGCAAAGGCAGGTGATTGCAGCTGAAGAGTTGAGGGTGAAGGGCGGCGGAAAGAAAAGATAGCGGACGGAGAACACGAGGCGCAAGGGAGGCGGGAGAGGTGAAAGCGGCAGAGGGGGAGGAAGAAACGAGCTACAGGTGGAGCTCACCTGGCCGAACAGCACGCAGGGGCAGAAGCAACCGAGGTAACCTGCGCAGGGGCAGTGGGGACACAAAGGGTTATGCGTCTGACGGAAGTGCCGCTGTGGGCAGCTGCAGGTTGCTATGAGGGAGAGGAGGGGAAGGGGAAGGTGAGGAGGGGGGCTGTTTTAGATACTTTCTGCTGTATGCGGGAAGGCGAGATACGGTGGGCGTGACACGGGGCGAGGCTATGGAACCACGCATGGTTAGGGCGTATCTCACTTCGGGTCATAAGGCCACTTTGGGGCATCTTTGTACACTTCGGGTCATGGGAGGACCAATGGTATTCGAGTAGTGTATCTAAAATGTGCCTGATTGGTCTTCCAAAAATCTCGGATGACCCAAACAGTGCATGACCCGAACCAAAGATACGCCCTTATTCTGATGATTCTCAAAAATACCCTGCAACGTCAAGATGATCGAATCACGCATGTTCCGCGCAGCAGAATCAAACGGGAATGGAGAGGCGTGGATGCACTGCATGCGTATACGTGGCATCGCCGAGCGTGGCGTTGCGGAGAGTGGCATTGCATGTCACGTCACGATGGTACCGGCGTTCCGATCATTAAACGCGCATGCGACGAAAAAAGGACCGGTAAGTGTCGCGGCGCTGAGAATACTGAAGGCGGATAAATGGCTTCAAGTCACCTCAAGAGCCGGGCTGGCGGAGAGGTATCCCTCGCAACTTGCAATGCGCCATCTCCGCTGTGGGGAGGTGCATTACACCTGATGCAAGCGTACACGAATCTCCACGCCGGCTGCTCAATGCGGCCTAAAGCTTCCGAGACGCGCCCTAACGCACGCGTCACACTCACAGCTTTTGGGGTCGGTCGAACAGTCGAATAAATTTGTGCTCCACGGCGCGCCGCCAATCCCGCTGCTCTCGTCCGCATCCATCGCAGCGCCCCCGTCACCCGTCACCTGCCAATTGCCACCTGCCACCTGTCACGCGACGCCTGTCAGCTGCCACGTGCCACCAGCCCTTCACGCTACTCCTTTCACCAATAAATTCAACCCTTCGCGTTCGCCCGTCGCCTGACCTGTCGCAAACGATGCCACCGTAGCCAGACAACTAACGCAGCGGCGAATTTTTCTTCTTCTTTATTCTTCACTTCTGGTGGCCTATCGCTCAGTGGGCCGCACGATTCCAGGAAATGAACGGCCTTGGAACAGAGCCTTCAATAAGAAACCACTTGTATAGTCGGAAGGAATATCGCGTGTCTGACTATTGCCTAGAGCAGTGTGACTAATTTCTAACTTATTTCTAATCTACTCTCACGGGTAGCAGCAAATTATGGTTGAGATCTGGTCTACTGATTGCAGTGAACGCAAGGCCTCTCGCCAGAGAGGCGACGTTTGCGATGCTGGAGGCTGCCAATGAATCTCGTGCGACTGGCGGCGAAGCAAATAGCGACAGATTTCCCGGTGTTCATGCAGCCGAGCAGGTGGAAGGGCTGATTGGCTGACGACTCCCCGAAATTACCGGAGATGGATGGAAAGCGACGAATGTGAAGCGCAGACGTGCTTTCTGAATGGGAAGGCTCCGGGCAGCGGGACGGTTTCACAGAAAAACAAGACTCGACGTTTAACGTCGTATGGGTTGCGTAGGTATACATTTTCAATCTAAAAGTACTAATATATCATAAGCATAACGAAAGTATAATATGATCACAAATGCATATGTAGGTGATTGCTACTTTGGAATGGGTGAATGATTAAACGTGCATTTAACGTGCTACATAAGGGCTCCTGTTTGGAGGGTAAAATAAATACCGTGGATTTTGCTTGCGTGTGCGATTAATGACGTTTATTTGTAATGGATTTTATAAATTGCACTTGACGTATGAGAAATACAATAGGAAGTTTATATTGAGTAATACCTTATGCTTTTGATTTTTTTCATTTGCGATTAATATGTTGGATTTCGAGCTTTAATACTATGTTAGACACGACCTTTTAGCAATCATGATATGAATATGGTCATAGTAGAACAATCTTAAGCTAATGTATTTAGATGCACTATATTCAGGACCACACTAGTCTGTTTACTTTGTATGAGTTGTCTTAGAAATGATTAGTTGTCTTAAAGATGATTTATCCACAAGCAGAATTGTGTCAATTCTGTAAATTTGACGTGGATTTCACGTGAGCCAAATTGTGGCAGAGTATATTTTTGTAATACAGCCCAAAAGTTACTCAAACCTGCCCAAGCCTCTTAGAAGTAATAAAAGTTAAAAGTTGGCTCGTTTTGCCCCCAAGTTTCATTTCGAATTTGACACCTAGAGCAACTTTGAACCCACCTCAAATTTGAAAAGAAATCCTCCGAAGCGCATTCTCTCTTCGAATCCCCCCTCCCCCTTCGAGTCCTTCCTGCCCATCCATCCCCACCATCTATCGCTTCGCCACAGCTACTACTCAGATTCAGCTATTCCTCACAGCTAGCACAGAGCAATTCTTGACAAGCTCTTTACAAACATTATTGGCAATTATTGACAGTGCCCTTCCAACTACTACTGATTGACGAATACCACAAGCACTACTACTCAGAGTCTTCAAAGAATTTATAGTGACAATCTTTTTGGTAAGAAACACCCATCATGTATCCTAGGTGCTGGTGCATTGGGCGGCGCTGGCGCATTTGTTGCTGGCACAAATGCGCTGGCGGATTTTCGCCATAGCGCGTTGGGCGCTGGCGCCTTGTGTCAAACTTATATATGCTATAGTCTGTTTAGGCTGTAGTGGGGTAGTCCTTAGAGGGTACAACACTTTTGTGTTTTCTACTTGTACCCCACCTGTTTCCTAGTTCACACTCATTCCTCTCATTATTCATACATGGTATAGAGCAGGTTCCCTAGTGGAACTGTTTTTTTTAGGGCCCACCACTACGATTTTTTTTTTCCTTACCTGCCCGAAGCGCGTTTCGCGTTTGTCCTAGCAGCGCCCCGTGCGCCTGCCCTTCGCGGCCCTTCGCGGCCCCTCGCGGCCTTCGCGGCCCCTTAGCTGCCCTTTGCGGCCCCCCCTTCGCGGCCCCTTTCGCGGCCCTTCGCGGCCCCTCGCGGCCCCTTAACGGCCCTTCGCGGCCCCCTTCGCGGCCCTTCGCGGCCCCCCTTTCGCGGCCCTTCGCGGCCCCTCGCTGCCCTTCGCGGCCCCTTGCGCGGCCCTTCGAGGCCCCTTCGCGGCACTTCGCGGCCCTTCGCGGCCCCTTCCGGCCCCTGCTGACGAGCCCCTGCTGGCGCGCCCCCGCAGACGCGCCCCTGCTGGCGCGCCCCTCTGCCGGCCCCTGCTGACGCGCCCCTACTGGCGCGCCCCTGCCGGCCCCTGCTGACGAGCCCCTGCCAGCCCCTGCTAACGAGCCCCTGCCGGCCCCTGCTGGCGCGGCCCCTGCTGGCGCGCCTCTGCCGGCCCCTGCTGACGCGCCCCTGCTGGCGCGCCCCTGCCGGCCCCTGCTGACGCGCCTCTGCCTGGCCCCTACTGGCGCGGCCCCTACAGTCCCGGCCCGCCCCTGCACCCGTCTCTGGTAAGCCGAGCCGCGCCACCCAGCTTAGCCGCGCCGCCCAGCCGAGCCGCGCCGCCCAGCTGAGCCGCGCCGCGCCGCTCAGCCGAGCCGCGCCGCCCCCACCTAACCGCACTGCCCTACCGAGCAGCACTGCCTTGCACTGCCCTGCTGCTATTGTTTCTACTGCTGCTACTACTGCTACTGCTGCTACTCTTGCTACTGCTCCTACTGCTGCTATGGCTAGTCCTACCGTTCTCACCTTTGATGCTGAGGGACGTGCAGTTGACTTTGACGTGTGGGTTGACGACCTACAGCTCTTTCTTCAGTGTGATTCTAGGGATGGGGTATCCCTTTTCGATCACACGTCCGGTGTTTCCACTGCTCCTGCTGCCACTGCTGACAGTACTGTTCACTCGCAGTGGACCACTCGTGACGCTGTTGCTCGTCTTGATGTTCGTAGTCACCTGCCGCCTGCTGAGCGCGCACACTTTTGCCAGTACAAGACTGCTCAGTCTTTGTACGACGCTGTAGTTGCGCGCTACTCCTCCCCTGCCACTGCTGCCCTCAGCCGCCTCATGCTGCCGTACCTTTTCCCTGGCCTTGCCGCCTTTGCCACAGTCGCTGACCTAGTTGCTCACCTTCGCACTACTGACGCCCGCTACCGCGCTGCCCTTCCCACTGAGTTCTGTGCCAAGAACCCCCCCCCCCATGTACATCACCCTTTACTACCTAGTCACCCGCCTCCTTGACTCTCTTTCTTCAGTCAGGGACCAATTTCTCTCCCTTTGCCCCACCGAGCTGACTGTCGACCTGCTAGAGGAGCGCCTTGCTGCAGCTGAGAAGAGTATCTTAGCTGTAGGTGCTTCTCGCGGCGACCGTCGCACCCCCTTCTTTGAGGGGTGTTCCCCTGTTCCCCTTCTCCCCTCTGTTGCTTCTGCTGCTGCTGTCGACCTCGTTGGCACTGAGGAGGTCGGAGCTGCGTCTGCCCCTAGTGGGAGACGCCGCAACAGCAAGGGCAAGGGGAGCAAGGGTGGTGAAGGGGGCGGCGGGGGAAGCAGTGGAGGAGGTGGAGGCGGTGGAGGAGGTGGCGTTGTAGGTGGGGGTGGTACCGGGAGTGGGGGCGTCAGTGGCGGCGGTGGAGGTGGTGGCGGCGGTGGCGGAGGTGGTGGAGGCAGCGGCAGCGGTGGTGGAGGTGGCGGCGGCGGTGGTGCTGGGCGAGGTGCAGCAGCGCAGCGTGGAGGCTTTGGTGGCAGCCAGCGCCAGCAGCAGCTGCGCACCCGTGAGACCCCGTTCAGCAGCTTCGTGAGTGGTACGCTGGGCGTGGGAGGTCTGGGAGTGCAGGTCCCTGCACTTACGTTCTTCGCACCGGCACTCGTAGTGGGGAGGTGTGTGGGCTCCCACACACCACGCAGCGCTGCTTTGGTCGCTTGACTGACGCTTGGCGTACCCAGTTTCCTGACGCCGTTGAGCTCCCTCGCTGGCATGATCTGCTTCTGCAGAATGTGCCTATCTTTGATCTAGATTTTGATGCTATCCTTGCTACCATGTATGCTCTTGCTGATAGTGCTGAGGGTGACCGTTACCTGAGTGTCCCGCCCGACCCGGGCATTGCGGCTGCTGCTCTAGGTGCTAGTGCGGCTGCTGCTCTAGGTGCTAGTGCGTCTGCTGCTCCAGGTGCTGGTGCGTTTGCTACTCCAGGTGCTGGTGCGTCTACTCTCTCTGGTACTGCACCTACTGAGTCCTTGCACACTTTC